TGTACAATAATTTATGTTATCAAGTATTGTTGTTACATTGTCAAGTACATAAAAATAGACAAACTTTGTTAACATTTTAACTTTCCTATATTTAACGTTTCTTACTTAATTTTCCTTTAAAAAATGACATTTTAACTCGCTCTATTTGCTTCAAGATTGCACAGACCAGTTAATGTTGTCGCAACAGACAAATTAATTATGGCAAGTGTTAAACCGCATTCTGTGTCCGCTAACGAGATTCCTTAACACGCTAACTACCGCAATGAAGCGGTTAAAAATTCATACTTCCATTCTCATCAAGTCTCACTAATTTTCATAATACTCCGTATTTATTACTCATAGTTCTAACTAATACTTACTGTTATATACTATAATAAATATTCGCATTTATCAACTAAATTCTTCAATAATTTGATATTCATTAAAATATCTTTTGCTAACAAGTAAGACACGTGGCATTTAACCTCATTTTAATCAAACATTTAAGCTCGTTCTTCTCCAAATTAAGGAGATTATTGACTTATTAAAAATTCTTAACCAATGTCGCTATGCATGTAATTTCACATATTGCAGTTATTTTACACAGTTTCCTTAAAGAAGAAATAAATTTGTATACTTAACATAATGTACACAGTTTCATTGATAAAAAATTAATTTGTTATACTTGATATAATGTATACAGTTTCATAAGAAAAACAGCTCACTTTCTTTTCGAAAAACTGCTTCATAAAAAACAGCTTCTCTTATCGAAAAACAGCCTCATAACAGCGGTAAACTTGAAACCTCAAGGGTTAATCTAATTTTTAAAATCGTACATCAACCCCAGTAAAAAGTAGCCGACATAGTAAAAATGTACACAGTTTCATAAAAAAAACAGCTCCCTTCCCTCATTGAAAAACAGCCTCATAACAGCAGTAAACTTGAAACCTCAAGGGTTAATCTAATTTGTAAAATCGTACATCAACCCCAGTGAAAAGTAGCCGACATGTTAAAAATGTACACAGTTTCATAAAAAAAAAACAGCTCTCTTCCCTCATTGAAAAACAGCTTCAAACAGCGGTAAACTTGAAACCTCAAGGGTTAATCTAATTTTTAAAGTCGTACATCAACCCCAGTGAAAAGTAGCCGACATAGTAAAAATGTACACAGTTTCATAAAAAAAAAACAG